TATATATATATAAATATAAATATATATAAAAGACATAACTTCTGTACAGTAAATAACGTCGAATGCAACAGGTGTCATTGAAAACAAAGAGTGTACAGTTTTTGCAGCTGCCACGATAAGGAAACAAATTGGGAGCTGGCTTTGTTATTAGCAGTGAGTTTTTTTTTATTGCTAGTGGGGTGGGACTAAGTCCCTTGTACTGCGGCCACTTCTGGCCTATTTTACCAGCCCCAGATGATAGGTGAAGGTGATTGTGGAGCAATTGGTGGAATGAAGATTGGCAAGGGAAACCGAAGTACTCGAAGAAAACCTGACCTAGCGCCACTTTGTCCATCACAAATCCCACTTGACCAGACCCGGGATCGAACTCTAGCCGCCACGGTTGGAAGCCAGCGACTAACCGCTTGAGCTATGGCGAGGCCTTAGCAGTGAGTTAAGCACACTGTAATGCATTTTGAAACAGGGAAACCAAGACTTTGATGGCTAAGAATGAAAGGATAATTGAACTACAGTGTTACAAATTTACACCCACTTACAGAGGACAAGTCATAAGACGGGAAAGAGGCACTCTATGATGATCTAAGAAGACTATGATAGTTGTCCGAAACATGACATAAATTTTAGTAGGAGATATGAATGCACGAACAGGAAGGGAGCACAGCCTACAATTAGTAAGCAAGGGTTCCATCAAGAAACTAACGATAATGGAAGAAGGCTTCTAAAAACATGGGTATTTGTGGTACAATGTTGGAACACAAAAATATTCATAAAATGACGTGGAGACCGCCAGATGGACAGTACTTTAATCGGCTTTAGTAATATCCTGATTGATTCCAGGCACCTATCAACTCAGGCCACTTATTGTTTGACAAATACAATGCAGAACATCTAACGTTAGAAAGATGAAAGTGGTAAAAGTGACTAGATACAATTGTGGAAAATTAGAAATACCAGTGATAGAATGGGAGTATAGAACTCATTGGAGGAGAATCTAAGAGGATTGGCCTTCAAGCCACATTACTTCATTGAGGATAAATGGGATAAGATATCCCAAGGAATACATAAAATAGCAAGTGAAGTGCTAGGAAATTATCCGTAGAACATCATAATGACTAGTACGATGAAGAATGCCAGCGTGCAACTGAAAAGAAGGAATGAAGCGTGTCCTGTAATGCAACAGAGATGTTATACCAGAGGAATATCAGGAAGTAAGAAGAAATGCAAAGAAGGTACTTAGGAGGAAAAAGCCGCAGTATGAGAATAATGAATTTCGAGAAACAGAACATCTAATGAACCAAAATCATATCAGGAAATTTTGGTAAGGAAATTAATATAATTCGGAAGAACTACAAACCAAGAATAACGTTACGCAAAGGAGAGGATGAACAAATTATTAGTGAGAAGGAAGAAATATTGAAGAGATGGCAGGAGTACTTCTGAGTCAGAGTTAAGCACAGACAACACTATGCAGAGGTGGAGCTGTGGTAAAGAAACAATATAGCCACAACCAACAGTGGAAGAGGTTGAAAATGCAATAGAAAAACTGAAGAGTAATAAATCTCCAGGGTTAGATGGTCTGCAGGCAGAACTGTTAAAATATGGTGAT